AACATCATATCTTCAATAACAAAGCACAGCAGATGGGACAGGAGGGGAACAACTTTCTTCAGTAGGATGACTCTTGCACTCTACTTAGGGTATTGTGTCAAAATTGAACAAGAGAGATAAATTGCAATCAAACATGAGCAAAAGTATGTTTAGTGGAGAAGGGATCAAGCAGGGATAGAGTGCAGGGCAAAGATGGATGGAATTTGCAGTAGTCATAAATTACAGAAGAGGATTAGGAAGGTCTTTTCAATTACTGTATTGTTCAAATATGCTAAACTTTTTGAAATGGAGAATGAATGTGCTTTTTATTGAAAATGAAGTATTATTATGGGAATATTGTGCAAAAGCTACAATACCCTTCAAATAATATGTCAAGCAATTTAAAATATAGACAGTCCCTTACATCTCTGGCAAGCACCCTACACTAGATGCTACCAGCAAACTAGTGCCTTCTAAGTCATGGAAGTGATGGAGAAAGATTTCTATAGAAGAAGCAGTGGAGAGCAATCGGTGCTTAAAACTACCCTTAGTTATCAGGTCTGCTTCAAGCCTGGGATTCAAGTCAAATAGTTCCTCTGCAATTGGCCAGATGCATCTGTCCTGGGTTCATTTCAAGGGGAGGAAAGCCACAAAAGAAAATAAGGGGTTAAGAATTAAGCATCCCCTTTAATTTTCTCATACGATATTCCCTGAAAAAATGCCCTCCTCTCCACCACCACCCTGCCACATAGCATTGTGTGTTCAGCAGATCTCATGATTGTATCTCTCGCATTCAAAACTTACCATGTTTCCAGAGAAGGTATAATGGCCATGCTGAGAAGTGTTAAAATGTATTCAATTCTATAGGCAACCCCAGGAAACAATATGGTGTCTGTCTCCTTTGTGTCATGTTCTTTTCTTAATCTTTCGGTTGAACTGAGATTGCAGAGGTAATTCCAGGGCTGTTTCTAATTCCAGCAGAACTAGCAACTCATAAAGCAAACATTTGGTTAAACATTTGCCTGTCATAACAGCACAATGAGGAACTTGTGTAGAAGCTAACCAGCTGGAAGAGTCTCCCATTATCTGCAGACACCACATTTAACAACTATAAGGCTTTTTTTTTTTTAAAAAAAAAGGCTTTACACAGAAAAATACAAGGAAGTACAAGGTTCAGAAGAACAGTTCAAGAGAACATGCCAAATGCAAAACAGTAAGACTTTGAAAAGCACAAGGTGAATTGATAAGAACAATTTTCCAGCACAACACTTAGGGCAATCGGGGGTTTGTATATAATTTTTATTAAAGACATTTTCAAGAGAATAAAAACAATATCATTTGGGTTTACTTTTCATTTCTCTTACAACTCTTTGTCTCATTCTATGAGTTGGGTATTTGAACCCAACGTTTTTTAGATTTTTTTTTTTTTTGCAAGTCCACCAGACATGATAAAAACATCTTTCATGTTTTCCACATTTCTAATATAAAATTCAGGTCCTTTGCATCATGGGCAAGAAATACCCCGAGTGATATGTAATTCCCAACTCTGCTTTTTTCCACTCTCAGAAACTTCAGATTGAACCATAGACATTTAGAAGCAAACCATCTAATGTAGAAAAAAATTCCCATCCCTTTTTGAAGGGAAAAGACAATGATGCGTTAGCTTTCTAAAAGGCTTCACACACTTTAGATGGTTTTCAAACACAATATCCATCCTCCGAAAACATAAATATTGCCGTGATGCCACACAGCACTCAATGACAGCTGACTCCTGCAAGAATATATAGATATATCAGTGTCTCTTAGATGTAGGCCATTAGCATGTACAGCTGCAGTGGTGGGATTAAAAAAAAATGACTACCGGTTCTGTGGGTGTGGATTGGTGGGTGTGGTGTGGCTTGGTGGCATACCAGGGGAAGGATACTGTAAAATCCCCATTCCCTCCCCATTCTTGGGGGAAGGTTACTGCAAAATCTCATTCCTTCCTCACCCCACTAACCTGCTTTCCAGCTCTGTTCTCCTGTGCAGGACAACAAAAGAAGAACCAGCCGATCAGCTGGGACTCGGGACGTAGAGAATAGATGGTGGCGGGGCCAGGCAGAGGTGGTATTTGCTGGTTCTCCGAACTACTCAAAATTTCCACTACTGGTTCTCCAGAACTGGACAGAACCTGCTAAATACCACCTCTGCACAGCTGGTACCGTATAGGCGGGAAGAGATTACACCAATTGTTCCATATTTAGGGGAAGCAAAGTTGGAGGACTGCTTAAATGCAAGCCTTCAAAAAAAAAAAAAAGAAACAAAGCTTGGCTTTTTAAATAATTTTTATTGAATAACAATATAATATGAATACAAAATAACTGCACAATATTAGGTTTGGAATACAGAATTGGATGCCCCCCTGCTCTTCATCACACCCCTCTCAAGAACACTATCTTTTAAATTTGCAAAATCAATCCAGAATGTCCATTTACCTATTGTAAACACATGGTCAACAGAAATACAGGAAGTCCTCGAGTTATGACCACAATTGAGCCCAAAATTTATGTCGTTAAGTGAAACAGGTGTTGAGTGAGTTTGCCCCATTTTATTACTTTTCTTGCCACATTTGCTAAGTGAATCCCTGCAGCTGGTAAACAAGGTTGTTAAGGGAATCTGGATTTCCCATTAACTTTGTCACAAAAACTGATCACATGACCCTGGGAGACTGCAACCATCATTAATATGAACCAGTCACCAAGCATCTGAATTTTGATCATGTGACAATGGGGATGCTGCAGCAGTCGTAAGTGTGAAAAGTGGTCATAAGTCACTTTTTTCAGTGCCGTTGTAACTTTGCTCATTAAATGAACTGCTGTAAGTTGAGGACTATCTGTACAATTTTCATGCTTCTTAGGTACTGTTTGGTGGAAAGTTTCCCCATATAGAACAGATTTTAGAACATGCTTTACTATAAATAAACCTCTTAACATTTTTTTTTCTAGTTATGACAAGCAAAGATTACAGAGGACAAGATGTCAACAGAACTCTTTAAAAGGTTTTCTTCATTTGCATCTAACTTTGGCACATATATGTCTTTCTTATTTTTTTCTTTCTCTATCTTTTCTTTCTTTCCTGTATCTTTATTTTATTTTTATTTCATCCCCTGCACATGAATGAGACAGGAATAAGTCATTTTTTTTTCGTATATTGGTATTAAACAGCATTTTCTCTCTTATTCTTATACCATCCAAAGATAACATTAACACGAATACAGTAAGTTGGGTTTTGTCATCCATGACCTTTAGCAATAGCATTAGCACTTAGACTTATATACTGCTTTACAGTGCTTTACAGACCTCTCTAAGTGGTTTACAGAGTCAGCATATTGCCCCCAACAATCCGGGCCTTCATTTTACCGACTTTGGAAGCATGGAAGGCTGAGTCAATCTTAAGCTGGTGAAAATCGAACTGCAGGCATCCGGCAGTCAGTAGAAGTGGCCTGTGGTACTGCATTCTAACCACTGTGCCACCATGGCAAATAAAAGTTTCTGCATTCTACAGAAGTTCCTAAAGAACATCTTCCATTATCCATGACTACTAGACATGTCTATGGAGAGGATTGGGGTTGATATTCAACAGCATCTGAATGGCACATTGAATTTCCCTCATCCTGCTGTAGGGCAAAAGAGTTACTGTATATAAGAATCATATTATGGCATACACACATATACCTTCAAAAGTTCAAATCTTTAATACAGTCATAGACCTTATAGATCTTATACTGAAGGAAGATGGGATACACAAAACTAAAAAGTACAAAGGATACAACAAAATATAATTGTAAAGAAAAAACAATGCTAAAATATATAAAAATAAGATTTAAAAAAATCTAAAGGGAGAAGTAGAAATATTAGATCAATATGAGGGAGCATACAATTTAGTATATAGCAAACTGAATCTATCACGGTACAAAGCACTTTTGAATAACTAAATGCTCATTAAGACTAATGTATGGCGTAGGTCATCTGACAGATTTTAAGCACTGCTGGGCAAAGCCAGGCAACATTTTATTGTTAGCAGGGTTAATGTCTGAAAGTAGCAGGGAGATATAATTTGGGTATTTATGCAATAATGGCAAGATGAGCCTAGTATGAATGCCTCTGTAGTACTGGCAATTGGAGGTGTTCTCTTGCTTCTACAGGGTCAGAATCACAGGGGCATGTTCTCTCCAGGTAGGGGACCTTCCTGTGTTGGCCTTCAAGGACACCTGAGGGGAAGGTATGCCATTGTGCCAGAATAAAGGCCCTTTGGTGTTTAGATACTTTGTGGTTAGTTAAGTGTGCCATGAGGGAGGCAGACGCATTGGCGCTCTGTGCCTGCTACATATTATTAATGAGTGCTTTGGCTTGGTCATCTCCCATGCAGAGCAAAAGACCTGGGGAGAAGAGCAAAGCTGAGATTTTAGTTGCCACAGCCTTTTCCCATGTGGACTGAAAATCATTCCTCTTAATTAACGGAAAAGGGCCAAGGAGAAAAGGGTATAATCTGAATCAATTGTTGAGTACGGTCATCCATATTGCACTTTCATGAGGCCTGTCTCCAGTTTCACACTGGTATTAGAAACATAATTGAGGACTTGAACAGTTGATCTTGGAAATTTGGATTTAATGGTGCAAAATTGGAGAAGGGACCCAGATGGAGACACACATTTGGTTTCCTGTCACCCCAAAACATTCTGTCAACTGATGTTCAAAATGTTTATTCTACACCCAAACAGAAAGCACTCTCCAGTGACATTCATTAAAAGCAGATTTGGAGAACCAGAATTCCTACTGCTATTCTCTGGAAAGTCTGCTAAACAAAATCCCATCCTGATTTCCAACTTGGGGATACATACAAGCTATTAAAGCAAATAATTTATATTAGATATTTTAAGACAAAAATAAAAAATTAACAAGAATTAATATAAATTATAAAAGAGAGCGGGGTGAAGGAAGGAAGGAGGGAAGGAAGGAAGGAAGGAAGGAAGGAGGGAAGGGAGGAGGGTAGGAAGGAAGGAAGGGAGCCAAAGATGCAACAATAAAAAATGAAAAGAAACAGAGTGACTTCCCATTTTCTTTACAGTTATAACAAGCACCAATACAAAATTATTGCTTAGTCTATGGTTACAAGGAGAAAAATTTCTCTTTTTACCATTGTCTATTTTTTTAATCATCAAAACCATAAATTACACTTTCTTTTCCTCTGCTTCAAGCAACAACAACAAAAAAACTCTAAGGATTTTCCAGTCAATAATAAGTGTTGATATTGTCTTTTGTCTAATTAAGGAAGTTAATTTCAACATCATTGCAAATTCTGTCATCTTCGCCAACCATTCTCCATTGTGGGTTGTGCTAAATCTTTTCATTTTTGCACATATAACAATCACACTGCAGTTATCATATAGCAGTACTGGGATTGAATATGGTATATTAACATAATAAATACACTAGTATAGCCATGCTGCAAGTGTTCATTTAGGAAACAAATGAATATGTCAGCAAGCCCCTCCTGATCACAACTTGGATCAAATACTAAATTGTTGCGAACCACAGAAGAACCACAAAATATGCTGTTAACAACAACAACAAAAGATTTGATCAGTCCACTGAATAAGAGAGAGGTTTTAGCTTCCGGATTTTTTGGACGCTGGGGTTATTCAGAAGTGTATAGAGCAGGAACCATCTTGTCCTGGCTTTCCTAGACACTCTGGGAACTAAAATAAGAAACCAGTATTAATTTTTGCCATGTTTAGCAGGCCAGTCATTCTCTCTCAGCCCAACCCACAGGGTTGTTGTTGTGAGGAAAATCGGAGGAGGAATGTGGATTGGATGTGTTCGCTACGTTGAGCTATTTGTAAGACTAAAAGGGTGGGATATCAATAAATAAAATAAATATTCCCCAGATCATTCAAGTGAGTACTGTATCATGTGCATTGTATTTCAGTTCACCCCTTGCTGTCAAATAATTGATCTTAATGCATTTGGAATTTCTTTTGGGTGGGTAGGTGGATTGCAGGTTAAGTTTTTTTTAATAAGCTTGGGGGAGAAAGGAGGTAGATCAATACAACATCTCTATAACCATGCACAACTGTTATAATTCACTATTTAAACAATTCCATCCTGCAAAGAAATGCTATACCCTCAGATAAACAATATTTGGGGATGATGTTGTTCCAAATGTCTGAACAGATAACCTTCAGAAAGCTATTCCCGAAATCCAGTGTGCATGATAGCATAGTTACCTGAAATGGAAACTTCTAACAAAGTATATGGACAAAGTTTTATCTTCATAATAGAAGCCTGGGCAAAAGGTCAAACCGGTGATGAAATGGAAATGTTTAGTTATGGGACCCACCTAAATGAAAACAATCTGCAATGTTCAGGGCTTCTTCCCCAGAAGTGAAGATTCTATTTTAACCTGCCCCGTTGCTTAACATCCCAACAGACCCTGTGGCTTGTGATTCAAGCTTACCTATTACCAATGGCTTACACACAGATGAGTATGAATCGCCAGACAGTTTTTTTTGTTTGACTTTGTCACAAAGGATTTGGCAGAAGCACACAAGGATGGGATTTGTGTGATAGTGGTCCAGAAAAAGCATTCCAATCCAAACTGTGTATCCTGCAGAAAGATCATGAGTATTTCTTTTTTGCATGTTAAATGCAGCTTCTCGTTCTCCCATCTCACCCACTTTATCCAAGGCTTGAAACAAAGATGCTAATGAGTGGGAAAATCCAGTTCGTTATGTAAAAGTAGATGAGGTTTCCTCTGTAAGGCCATTCAAATGCTTACCTGCATCACATTGTTCATAACCTTTTGGCATTACTGGCCTATCTATCCGTCCAACCAGCCAGACCCCAATAATGATGCTACGGAAGAGTCTCATCAGACAGGAAGTTAAGCCCACGACCACCGAATGGAAGAATAAAAAATAACTGAAGTTTACGAAGACTCTCCTGGAAAACAAGAGGCTATCAGTGAGAAATCTCATGCTTACTCTCCAACTATGGAGGCAGAAACAAATAGTTTTGCTTTTGAATTCAGTTATGAGCTGTGTTAGAATTTGGAGGCAGATACATCCCCAATGGGCTTTTATCAAAGAAGAAAATTTAGTAGTTCTACCTCTCTACATTTGAGGAAGTATAATAAGTTGTACTTGTAGAAAGTTATAATACTTTACTGAGCCCATGAGAAGATGAATAAGGTTTATTTACAAGTCCCACCAATCGTAGTTGATGAAATACAGACTGTTGTACCAAGATGTAATGCAAATATATAAACAAATTTCACTTAATTGAAATTAGCCTACAAATTGCAACATTGGTACAACATTAAAAGATTTATCAGTAAAATAAGATAAACCAGATAAAGACTAGGATTTAAAAAAAGGAGGTAAGAATTATATTGTTAAATCTTCTCTAGTTTTCTTCATGCAGTATTCAACATGAAGAACCTGTTTTCTCTAAAGCGTGAAACAGCATAATACAAATGCTACTCAGTTCTTCTGAAACTGTACTTTTGTACTTAATTTTTCCCCATTGATCTTTTAACTTTTTCCTGCCAAGATTAATGACTAACAAATGGCCGAATTAGAGGCTGAATTAGATTAGCTTCCCTGAGTTATTATTTCCAAATAATGTTTTTATTTGTGTAAATATGAATCCTGTCTCACATTTTCACATCACTTCTTTTTTTCCACATCTTTTTCTGGTCAGTGATTTTAGTCAGGACAGTCAGGAAATAACACCTGCAACACTTTATCTTCCAACAGACACTGCTAAAATATGTTTATCTGGAAGCATCATTGGCTATCAAACCCAGGTGCCGTGCAATGGAAAAAATTATATTCACAGAATAGCAGAAGACATATCATGCCCTAGCACTGACCTGTTATCAAGAGCCAAAGGCTTTTGACTGTCACTCGGTGACATTTTTGGCTGGAGGAAAAACTTGCCACCTACAAACACCTGTATCTTCTTGATCACTATGACAATGATAAACGTCAGGCTGAGAGACAGAAAACAACATTGCATTATATAACCAAACTAAACCAATCAAAAATATATAAATAATATTGAAAGGATTATGTTTTGCTACCATCCTCAGTCTGGGATCCAAAATTTTTATGTTCATCATTATGAATTCTTTGATAATCAGTTATGTACAATATTCAAATTCAAAAGTATTTTTAAAAAGATAAAAGGTGGAATCCTATGAATATAGCACGGATATGAAGGCACAGATTTTGGGGTCGTTTGTACTATGCATTTCTTCCTATCAAACTGACAAATGGTACTTGAAATGATACATCTCATTTCTGACTATGAATATTTCTGCAACTGGAGCAGCAGAAGAAGGAAAATCACCTGCTCTGTACATGTTTTTTTGAGGATGTACAAATCCCTTCTTTATTATCCAGCCAATGAGGTGGATGATGGAGCAAGCGCTCAAAAGTTCCCCAATCCCACCCAGCCAGATTATCTTCTAAGCTTTGATACTGATCAACATGGGCTGATTTAAGATTTAAGATAAATTTATTGTCATTGTACTCAGAAACCTGAGAACAACGAAATTAGGTGCTCTTTCACAACATACAACTGAACAACATCAAAAGACATATACAAATAACAATATAAAACAAATTAAAACAAATAACAATTAAAAACTGTACAACCAGGATATATATATGTTAAGACCACCAGATTCATAACTCTGCATTTAACCTGATCACAGCACTTGGGTAAAAGCTGTTTAAATCTACTTGTCCTGGCTTTCAGCACTCTGTATCGTCTTCCTGATGGTAGGATCTCAAACAACAAGTGGCTTGGATGCGAAGAGTCTCTCAAGATCTTTTGTATCTTCCTTCTACATCCCATGTTGTACAAATCCTCCAATGAGGGAAGAGGACATCCGCTAATCTTTTGTGCCCTTTTTATCACTCTTTGGAGTGCCCTTTTCTCTGCCTCTGTACAACTCCTAAACCACACACAGAGGCAATAAGATAAAATGCTCTCTTTAGAGCTTCAATAAAAGGCAACCAACAGACTCTCTGGCAGTTGTTGTGATCTTAAAAGTCTTTAAAAATACAGTCGTTGATGAGCCTTTTTTTCTAGGGCTAAAGTATTTGCCCCCCATGTTAGATCTTGTTTCAGGGTGATACCTAAAAACTTACATTCTGCCACCTGTTCTACCAAAACACCATCGATGTACAACGGCTGGATATCCGAACTGCTCTTCCTGTAATCCACTATGAATTCCTTCATCTTATTTATATTAAAAATAAGATTGTTTACTTTGCACCAGAGGGACAGCTGATGAACTTCATCCCTGTACGCAGACTCGTCATTATCAGAAATGAGCCCCACCAACGTTGTATCATCTGCAAACTTAATGATCTTATTACTCAGATGAATAGAGGTGCAATCAGACCTATAAATAGTGAATAAAAGTGGACTCAATACACAGCCTTGAGGAGTGCCAGTATTGAGGATCTTCACAGAAGAGATATGTTCATTCATCCTAACCCTTTGTGAACGATGTGATAAAAAATTCAGAATCCACCAACATATGGAGTCCGGTAGCTTCAGATCTTTAAGCTTAGACATCAATCTGTGGGGTAATACTGTGTTGAAAGCAGAACTAAAATCAACAAATAATGTTCTGACATACGTTCCTGATGATGTGAATAATGCTCACATTTGCAGCTTGGTAAATTTTGAAAGGCAGGGAGACCAAACTGTTATTGTCACTGCAGGCACTTACATAACAGTTCCCCATTTGTTTAAAAGCTCCATCCATTTGCCATGTACCATGGGTAAAATCAGAACATACATAAATATCATTCCAAATAACCACTGCACCAAATGCATGATTAGGTATCCTAGAAAAGAAAATTTACAACTGGTTAACGAATGGGGAGAATTAGAAGCTCCCAATAACTTATTCCAATCCCTTTAAGACAAGTGTTCACATACCCCACATTATGTATGCAATTTGAAAAGAGATGAACTTTGATAGTGCTACCTGTTAAAGAATAGGAGAGCTCAGTTAGAAATTTGCAAACATATAAACAAAACATACAATATTTCCAGGAAATCTAAGTGATATATTTGTGTAACTACTTCTGTATAACTACACAAACCAATTCTGTCAGCATCATTTCAGACTAGAAAGAAAATAGGATGCAAAACCCTGAGATGCAACTTCTTTCTACCCATTTATTTTTACCTAAATAAAATTCCAAAAATAAAAGAAATCCCCAAAGGAGAAAAATAACCAAAGAAATATGGATAAATTATGCAGGAAAGCTAGTTTTCTGTTCTTCTATCTATAGCTCTGTCTTGTATTTGTAATTGACATTATCCTGACAGCTTGGCTCAAGAGTGTACTTTGTTTTGAAAACTAGTTAAAGGCAAAGCAGCTGCAGGCTATTTGCATCAATGCTTGTTTTGAATATGTTTTATAAATTCAACCAATGCATGGCACAAATGGGCGGGGACAAAATGGCAGCCACATGACAACTTTTCCTATGCAAAAGTTCTATTTTATATTCTATATTATTTAACATCTGTTAAAAAGATTCATAAAAAGGTCATATATGGATTTAGCATTAGTTATAATAATATGCTGATGATATGTGACTGTACTTTTGCTTCTGTCAGACTTCAAGACTAGGTATCTTGACATATTATTAAGCAGCAATTTTACTATGGGTGAAGGAGTGGATAAAGTTAAAAAATAAAAGAATTTTGGTGATAGAAGGTCATGACCTCCAAATTGGGTGGCATGCCTTTCTATGGGATAAAAAGAATAAGATCCACTCCTATTTTCATAGACATTTGATAAGGGACTCACTTTTACAAAAATGGGAGAAAATTTTAAAAAAGCATTATTTGAAAAGACCAAACTGGATCTCACCTATGGAAGCTATATTATATCCAAATACAAGGGACATTAAAAAAAAAGATTAGATATAAAGAATTGGTAGATGAACAGGGGGAATTAAAAACACTGGATAAACTGAAAGAACAAGCGATAATATTAGACTGGTGGGTATATTTGCAAATTCAAACTAAATTTAAGAAAGATGTAAAGGAGCTAGGGATAGATAAAGATTTACAAAAAATGGACCAAATCTTGTCAGGCAAGGATATAAAATTTATAACACAAACATAAAATTATTTACTGGAGGTAGAACCAGAGGAGGAAATTGTTAAGGGACCAATGATTGCCTGGGCGAAAAATGTGGGTCATAATATAAATTTGGATAAGTGGGAAAAGACTTGGACCGAGAACTGGAAGCTGACTTTGTCAACGGTATTCAAAGAAAATCAATATAAAATGTTTTGTAGATGGCACTTAGCTCCAGCACGACTGGTGAAAATGTATCCAACCTTGAAACCAAAATGCTGGCAGTGCAAACAAAAGAAAGGAACGTTTTTTCACATGTGGTGGCAATGTATAGAGGTCAAAAAATACTGGAAGAAAATACAGAGATGGCTTTTTGAGATTACAAAATATAAATGGAATTTGGAACCCCAAACGTTTTTATTAGGTATGATCAAAGGGAATTTGAGTAAAGATAAAAGATACCTTATTGTACACATCTTAACTGCAGCAAGAATCACGTTAACACAAAATTGAAAGAGTGATAAAATACCACCAGATGAAGTTCTGATTCAAAAAATAATGGACTGTGCTGAACTAGATAAATTCACTATGGAACTGAAAGGCAAAGAGGATCTGTCAGCCTTCAAGATTTTCTCCCTTTGCTTTGCATCTTTCAGCTGTCAATAACTAATGAGGGGAGGAGGGGGGAATGGTTATGGGAAGTGAGCTGGAGGTGTTACAAACCAGAACTGTATAAGCTGGGAGGG